AACAGAAATCGCAAGAAATGTTTGCTGCCTGCATACCAGGTTTATGTGGCAAACCTGTACCAGATGTTTGAGGAATACCAATACTCTTCTGCCTTGCAAGCAACATAATCTGCGTTGCACACTTGTAGACACAACACATCACTGTCCTACCTTTTCGAATGAGGTCCTCGATATCTTGATCAAATCCAAGCCGATGGCATTTGCTCCACAGGCCCATGTTGGTGGAGTTATACAGCCTGCTGCACTCATCGGCGGCGCTCATCGCGAACAGCTGCCTTCTGTTCCGCGCCAGCAGCAGCTTTTCCTCCCAGCGGTCCAGGCGCGAGCGGCTCGCCCGCAGAGGGAGGCTGTTGTTGGGGATGTAAATAAAGCCCGGGTCCTTCCGGCGACTGGAGAAACTTCGGCACCGCTCTCGGTACCTCCGGGCGTCCGTCTCGTACCAGTGGTCGGAGCAGATAGCCACGGCCAGCATCCCGAGCGCGCAGAGGGACAGAGACAGACCGGCGTAGAGCAGCAACTTCCCAGCAGCCATGCTTGCGTCGCGTTCGCTCAGAGCCGCGTCAGCACCACAACAGCTTGGAGAGCTCCTTGACGTGCACCCGCATGCCGCCGGGCACGCGGACAGAGAGAACGGACGTCAGTCGATGCAGTGGAATTTGTTTTGGAGAGCTCGAGCTGAAGCCCAGCCGAAAATAGAAGCCTTATTGAACGTCCATCCGTAGCCCTTCCCATCCAATTCCAGTGAATGAAACCAGACGAGACGATTATTCTGTCCAGTCCTCGTTCACGCGAACCAAGCCTTTCAAAAAAAAAAAAAAAAGGCAGAGGAAGATTTTTCAGCCGTTTTTTTAATAAAGCTGATAAAACACCCTCTAATTGAGCTTCGAATCAAGGGGTTTCAGTCGAAACAGTTTTACAAAATACCCCATTGCGTTATTTAAATATTTCTAACATCTATCATGCTGTAAAGGCAGGACGCGATTCGTGGGGGATTTTTGGATTTGGAGCCCTAAAGGAAGTCAGAAAATTTGTGTGGGCCAGTAGGCCTATTTATAGTCCTTATAAATTCACACCACAAATAAATAGCACAAAATACGTCTGTTGTGTAATTGACGATAGTTAAATGACAATCTGTATTGCTCAAGACAACCCTCTAAAAATAGGCTACCTATAAAATTTAATTTAAGAAGTCCACCAATAATTCTTAAGTGCTTCTGATTCATTTAAAAAAGAACCGAATCATTCGTTGAAGAATCTGAGTAGACCATCACCATTCCACAAGAACCAGCTCATAGGAGTCATTTGTTCGGGAGTTGGACTACGCTGGTGGCACTGAGTGGTTTTAATTCACTAAAAATAACCAGTTCATAAGAGTCATTCTCGGACTACAATGGTCGCGGCCATAGATTCGGTAAATATAGAGAAAGCTAGTAATGCGGGAAACTGTCTGCCAGAGTATTTCATTTATCCTCGCATTGGCGGAAGAATAATTAATGACCAAATTTGGATGACGTTACTGAAGAACCCTAAACAGAACCGAACTGTATTAAAATGACTCGGTTCTGGTATTGAATAAATGAAACCGGTTCCGAATAAGAACCGGGTTTCGGTTCCCAACCCTTCCCATCACATATACCTGCCGTATGCAGACTATAGATTTTTGCTTTCAGGTTTATGTTACATACAGAAATGCACCGTCGCAGTCAGGTTTATTTTCTCATACATTCTCTTTAGAGGTTGCTTGAACATTTATCAAATTGCTGTCTGTTGAGAAAATGTATTAAGAAAACTCGACATTAAGCGTAATTTAAATCGCACTATAGGCTACGATCAAAAATAGTAAATCATTCCCGTGAAGGAATGTTTAAAACAATAAGGTACAGCTATGCTTTTATATCATCCATTATTGGAAAACCCACGGGCCCCGTTTCTAGGACTGATAAAGTAAATTAAATTCTGCACTCACCCCAATTAAAGCCGATAAAACGGGTTCAGTCCACTCCAATAATGCACCTCCTGCCCATTTTGCGTTTGCAGTCACTATACGATACGCTATACAGGATATGCACTGCCAAATATGCCTATTTAATAGCGACACACATTTATAAATGGTCAGTGCTGGAAATATCAAACCGTTCAACGACGCCGCATCTCAAACGACTCGCGTTTAAATGAGTGTATCGATATTAGAACATTTGGCGAATGGTGCATCCTTCTCCTCGGACAACATGGTCCCAACATCCTCCGTGCATGTTGCCTCTGTCTGGGAAAATCAGTGGTGATGTCATGCTGTCAATATGAGATGTTCATTGTTTATTAAAGCGCCTTCTTAAAGGAGTCGCACTACTGTTCTTGGTTCCGTGTCGAACTGTAACTGGAGTTGCCTTGCTGGCATTCTCTCTTAGATTTACACATACTGAAGAAAACCGGCGTCTTTCATGAATAAATAATCAAAGCTTTCAGAATCTTTCATTTTGCCATTCTGCATTATCAGAGCTATAAAATTATACTACACCAGACTCAAAAGCCCTTCTTACTCATAAAGGTTTGATATTTGAAACCACTATGCTCTGTCCAGAACCAACAGCAGTCAGGTATATTGCTGAATAATGAATGAGAGCAGTGGCATCTGTCTGCCATTGTAACGTTTTCTGTTTTACTGGGTTGCCCACACAGCCTACAGATAATGTAGGGACTCTCATGTACTTCACATATTTGTATGTAGGTGTATGTATGTGTACGAGATTGATATATGAGGCTCCACATTAGTAAAGATTCAGTTCAGTCATGAAACATCAACAATTAGCAGGCCATTTATTAAATTATGTGTGTGTGTGTATATATATATATATA